ACGATTTTGCGAAGCATTCAGAGCCCGTAAAACAGCGGTATTGATCTTAAATAGCTAGGTTACAAAGCTGGGTTTAATAACGGATTTTTTTCACAGGGTAGCAAAGGTTTTCTTGAAATCTGTTTGGCTGAACGAAGGATGCTCTGTTTGCTTTAAAACAGCCCTTGAATTGATCATCAATCTTCGGACAGGACGGTACGATGTGCGGGCTAAGTAACTTTTTCGGTGATTCAAAGAGAGGTGAAAACACAGAGCAATGAATAACAAATTTACTTACATCGTCATAAGGAATGAAATATCGAAGGACTGGTGCCCAGGGAGCGAAGTGTAAAGTATGAAGTCTGAATTCGAAGTCCCTTCTCGGCTTTCGTAGTTTGGGAACACGATGTAACAGGATACAATTTACAGCTTCTGTGCTTTGGTGAAAAAGTTCTACCAAAAAGCCTTATTATTTTTCAACAATGTTTCAACGTTTTAATTAAATATCAATAAAGTTTCCTCAAACGTCACTGCTTTTTTCGTCATTCTTCTCCCCGTACAGTTTGATGAAATCGAAAGTAAGCGTTGAAAAGAGTTTGACTGCAAAGAATGCGTGGAAGGTGTTCAGGAACTTGTAACGAAAAAAACACGATCAAAGACAGTTATGTAATAACTTTTCATTATTGTCATTGTTGTCGTACGGTTTATGCAACCAGGTGACACTCTTTGTAGATAATCTTGTTCGCAAGTAATCGTCATTGTGTTTAGAGCCGTTCCGAAGGATATCTTTGTTAGGTTACCTTTTTGGTGTTTTGTCCGACCAAGTGGAAAAAAAGTACGGAATAAATAGCCCATTTAGTCCAATTACCTTTGGCCTCTTTTTGAAAGCGGGTCCTTGTGATTACAAGTTTTCATTCACGTGCAATTTAAACTCATTTTCCTTTCGAATGGCTATGTTAATTACGCACCGGGCGTCGTTTTGAAAAGTGGCCAAAGGTAATTCGAAAATGACCTATTCATCCGAGATTCAAAAAAATTCTCAAGCCAAATTGTTCACAGAAATAGAATAAAAGTGACCATACAGTGGCAAATGATTTAACTTTGTATTCATTCCCAGAGGCTAAGTACGTTCTTTGTTTTTTATTCAATATCAAAAAATCTATCTGGGATCAGGAGCCTATTCTGCTGGGATTTAAATAAAATTCAAGGACGTTTTTAGAAAAACAGATAAATTTTCGAGAATTCTCCTAAAAAGTTGGTCTTAGCTGTAAAAGGAACAATGTTTAGCAAATAGAAGCTTATTATCTTTCTTGTTCTCTCTTCAAGATTAAAAAAAATTCTTAGATTGAATAAAAAAATTCATTATCTTGAAAAATGATCTCTTGATTTTTCGAGAAATCTCTCAAAAGTTGGTGTAAGCCTTCAAAGCTACAATATTCAGCAAATAGGTTCCAAGACAAAACCATCACACAACCAGAATTAAGATATTATAGTTATTTGAAAGTCTATTTTTGGGGTATTCTTTAAACTGGTTGCTTTCAAGTCTTGAGGATTACGTTGGTTCTAAACTAAACACTTTTTGTATTAAATGAAATGAAACTGAAATAATAGACCATCGATCACATAAAAAAATCTTATCGGAACATTTGTTATAGCCTAAGTAGCTAGGACAGTACGTTTTCAAAGTTCTCTTCCAAATCTCTGGTTTTGTTAAGCTCAGAAATTTCTCTATTACCTAATTACTCTTTCGATCATCAACTACAATTATTTTGGCACGTGACCACACCATCAGATCACGGCTTGGAGTAATAATGTGAATGCGAGGTATGATGATGAGTTAGTAGTCTAGACGAAGAGGATATCTGCTAGTTAAAGATATGTAAAATGTTTACACTTTTCCACAAAATTGTTTTTCTCAAAAAGAAATGAAAAAATAAATCATAACCTGACGCTGGTTATTAGCACTTGAATTTGAAATCGAATGAGTACTTGATAGGCTAAACCTTTGCTATATATGGTAACTTAGATTGACGTACTGCGTAACAAAATGACTACAGTGGTTTACTATCAACCTACACCAGTGCTACAGAAATTGGCGTCATTTTGTTCCAAAGTAAATTTTGTTTGTTTGGGTCTTTTACTTCGTTGTCGACTCTGACTTGATCTCAATCGCAGACATTTGTTAAAGCCAGATTCAAATGTTCCGTGTAAACCAGATTTTCAAACGTAGATAATCAATTGATGCGTTGTTAAAAAAAAAAAAAAACTAACCTATTGAGAGGCTATCCTTCTTTTTCTCTTTTGAATTTCTTGATCTCGATACATTCTCTGCCTGACGCTGTCCTGAATAGAAAATAAAAGAGAAATGCAGTGTTAATACATGAAAACAACAGAGATGCAACTCGGGGGATCGTTGAATACATGCCACAAACAGGGGCGTGGCTCGGGGTTATCTTGGGGCGCTTGAATGCCCTTTCCCCCCTTTTTGAGGTGATGGGTCTTTTGAAAGACAACAACATGCAAGCCTTATGATTCAAGCGCCAATCAGGAGAATCTACGCGACACGTGTCACTCACTGCTTATTTTAGACAATGTCACTTTCAGTCATATTGAGCGTTAATGTCGCATCACAATCGGGTAGGTACCCCGGATGTGACGTACTGTGACTCCTCCTTTAAAAATCGTAACGGCACCCCTGAACCTCGTTTACGTAGGTGCTTTATTGTTTGAAGTGTCAGATCAATTCTTGAATTATAAAGTCACTACGTTTTCTTTCTGAGCGCTAATGTCGTATCACAGTCTGATAGGTACCCTGGATGTGACATACTGTGACTCTTCCTTTAAAAATCGTAGCCGCGCCCCTTAACCTCGTTTATGTAGGTGCTTTATTGTTGGAAGTGACAAAATCAATTTTTGAATTAGAGTCGCTACATTTACTTAATAAAAGCAAATTCAATGTCCTTAATTGAAAAATACAACAGGAAATTTGGTTTTGTGAACAAAAAACGGGAACACCGAGTCCATTTTGAGTATTCGACGAGTCTGAACCGACTAACCAAACTGTTGCTGTGGTAATTTCGCGAGACAGAAGGTTGGTTATTACATTAGAAACAGTGACAAGGTACTTCTTTGAAACCAGCGTCTTACCATCAACAAATAAAAGAATTTTTGGAAAGACTTCCATATAACCCCATACCAATCAAAATCAAAAACAAAGCCGTAGGCCCAAAGGAAATCTGTTGTTTTGCCTCTGCTTTCCTTTATCCAAGAATTGAATGCATAATGAAGTATAGGGTTATATGGAAATCTTGCCAAATTTTTACAGTATAGAATAGGATAAGGAAATAAGCTATAAGCGGTCAGTGAAGCACGAATTTGTCGCTGTCGTTTTAAATGTCATGTGGTTCTGTCATGGCGGCCACCATTTGACTCACCTTCGAATCTGTTCGTTGCATTTAATTTGACTTGTCTAATTTTCAAGGGCAACAGCAAAAAACACAAACATTTAATTTCTGTGAGAAATGTATGTAAAAGTGGCTCATTTACCTTGAGAAAATTAGTGACGACGTGCCATTCATCAACCCTCGACGCGGAGCCCACGGGCATCCCTCAATTCAGCAACGTCGGAGAAACACAGGCCTGCCTTGGCAGAATAAACAATATCCGGGGAAATGTCGTCTAAGTGAAGCGTTTTGAGGCCTCGCGGACTAGTGGTAAACGACGCTGAAAGTTCTTGTAGTTTGTAAGCCCTTTCCACGTGCAAGACTGGTCGACTGATATGAATAATAATTTTGAACGTTAGTTAAAATTCAAATGAGTTTCCCCACTTAAAATGGCGGCATGTAAATCATCAACAAGCTCTTTGGTCAGTTTCGTTCAGTTATAAAACGAAGTATGATGACCGCTGTGGTCTGGTTTCAGTTAAGCCCAGGGTGAAAATTTTGTTGTATCTGTAGAAATACTTTGTCGAACTCGAACGAACCAGAGCAAACAAAACATTTTGTTTAAGGAAAATTTTTTCTATCATTTATTATCAGTTTTTCTTTAATCTCCTTTATCTCGATCCATTTTTTATTTCCTTTGAATTTTGGATTGGGGGAGTTTTACCTCCCTTCAATCTACAACATTGTCGACGAAACAAGTTAAAGACAAAGCAGAATACAATATCTTGCAATTTTCCAATCGCATTGAGGCACAATGATATTGAAAAAACTGATCGGGGAGCTCTGCAGTTGTCTCATAAAACTCGTAAAAAAGGTTATTTCCCCCATTATTATCTCAACTCGTCTCTACGACACTTTCCTGTTTAGAAGGCTAAAGAGGAAAAAAAACTGGGAGAAAGGTTTTGTTTATTACTCCTTAGAAATTTCAATGTTGTAAAGGAGAATTATATTTCATATTCAAGGTGAGACTTTGAAATATGGGGATCGAGGGAGTTTCATCTTTGAAAGAAAATTTTTATTTACTTATTCATTTATTTATTTTATTTACTCAAATTCAATTACACAGATAATCCAAACAAAAAAAAAAAACAAGGAGTTAAATATATATACAAGTATAAAAAAGAGATATCTAAGTAATTAGGCCAGTTTATACAGAATTCTAGATTCCTTATTTTAAATAAACTGCCTGTGATAAAATACAAAAAAATTAAAAACTACCTTAGACAAATAGCAACAAAAATACGTAATCAAAAATTATAAAAATTTATCCTTACTTAAGTTAAATTTACTGATATAAAACTGATTCACTTTCTTACTAAACAATGATACTCGATCAATTGTCCTAATAGCTACAAGATAATAGCTAATAGGATAGTTGTTTACTAAAATAAAGATTTAAACGAGTGTAAAGCTTTATATTAAAGAATGACAACAACAGGGCAGGCTGCAATTCATTTGGTTGTAAATTCGTCGTAGATAAGCATGTTTTAGCGCGCGGGGGGCACAGATTTCGACCAATCAAAAGCGCTGTCTGCACGTCATAAACACAACCTCGCGCTGAAAAAGAAGCTGCAAGAATTTTCAAAGCAAGAAATAGTTTGTTGCGACACCGTAGACGTCTTAAGCATGCAAAGTCAAAACACAAATCGACTAAAAGAAGTTGTTATCTAGTTGTTTCTGCAAATGCGACAAAAGTATCAGTTAGTTATATTTCTGGCCATTGTCAGCTTTTTTCTCCTGCAAAAAGGTTCGAGTTAAAGTGTTTTAGATCACCAACATTTCACGCATTGTTTTCATTTGCTTTGAAAATCTTCATTCAACGAAAACATTCTGGCAACACCTTTTAGGTTCTGCTTAGGTGTATTGCGATGTATACTCGTCTGAAAAACAATCGTTCCACTAGCAGTCAAAAAATTGTCGCTTTTTTCATAGCATTATGTTTTAAGTTTCAAATTTTTGGCCTTCTTCTGATGCAGCTAACAGCGCAAGATTTGTTTATAAAGGCGGGGAACAGAGCAATGCAACTTGTAAGTATCTCTATCGGATGAATCTTCATTTCTTATCGTGTATCTTTTTGACTTTCTATTACCAGGATACCCGACTTGTGTACGGAACGCCGCGGTTACTGTGATCTCCAAATGATAACAGCTTTGTTAATAACAACTTTGTTGCTAAATCGAAAGCATAACTACCTATGAATAAAACTTGCTTTTGGTTTGTTTTAACAACCTACATGTTATAAGAATCGGTTTTTCGTGAAGGAGTCAGAACTTTTCGTTTTTCCACGCTCGCGACGAAGCAAGTGTGACCGGCTCAAAATTCGCCACTTTTCTAATGTTAGTTCTACGCCTACCACACTAGTTCTCACTTTGCTGTCACTTGAGTAACACAATGGATACTTAATTCCCCCGCTTGGCTCGCTAACGAGATTCGTGAAGCCAATATTGGGCAAACATTGCATTATTATTGTGCTAGCACGGTTCCCACCTTGGACCATCATCGCTCACGAAAATATTTTCCACAGCAGTGACCACGTCAAACTCTCCTGCTGTAGGAGTTAATCACGGAAGTCTCGTCGGCCATCCCGCTTCTCCAACACCAATGAAGATCTCTACTCTGGCGCTACTCGTGACGCTTCTAACAATTGTTTCAGGAGCCACCATGTTGGGGCTTATACATCTCGTTCGAAATAGGTAACAAGTTAAGATAGTAATACCTCTTAATAATGGAGTTCAAATTTTTCTTTTTGCACTCGGTGTTATGGCCCAAGCGCGAAGTGCACGGTCCATAAATCCGAGCTGAAAAAACCAGGTTCTGTAACTTACGGTACAGACCGAGAAAACGTGGTTAGTAAGATATTTATCATAGCTCTGGATTCAAATAGTTCCCTTCTCTTAAACACTGAAATCTTACGTGACAGAAAAAACAAGCGGAAACTAGTCTGTGCATTTTCTCACGTCAGCAGCGTACACCCATGGGCAAATGGTGGACACTGAGTTGGTCAATCAGAGCGTGTGCTTTACTTTGGTTATGTTATAAAATAAAGTAAGGGGGGAGAGAGTTAGCTTGAAGGACTCAAATAAGCCTTTTCGTGAAAGTCATGTGACCCGATCAAGTTATTTTTAAACTTAAGGTATTCGATCGCCCAATAACATGCTGTCCAGGTGTTTTTAAGTATTTTGAGGAGAATGAAGGAAGACAAGTAGCATGTGAAGTACTATTGCAAACGTATGGGCTTTTTTGACAGTCCCTTGAGATTGTTGATTGGGAACAAGACCTTTATTTATGTGATAAACCTGTCTCGTTTCATAGACAACGTGCGCTGCTCCAGCAAGAGTTTGCCATGACAGAAGAAGATGCTTATCTTTCAAGTACAGCGTTGGCAAGTGATCCCTACCAAAGGTAGTTTTTACAATTACTTCTTCCTGACCAAAAACTCTAGAATAGTAGTTTTATCACGATCCACATGGGTTAGGTAGGGTTGCTAGACAAAATATACCTGTATTGGAAACACGTTTTAGCATTTATCTTAAATAACGATGACTCCGCAGCTTTATTAACTTTCCCGAAAATAATATCCAAGAAGACCCTGGCAGATAGATCGTTTAGTTGTGCCGCCCCTAGACTTTGAAATCTGCTTCCTACCACAATAAGATCTATTTCCAGTTTAGATATTTTTAAAATTAGACTTTGAACTTTTTTATTTAATAGGGCGTTTAATAAGTTACCATAGTTGTTATGATTAAATTGCATTAATGATGAATTATTTTATTTATTTATTTATTATGGAATTTTAGAATTGTAATTTTGAACTTCTATTTTATTTTTGATTTAATATTTATTGTAAGGCGTAGTTGAATATTTTTATAGAAACTGCGCAGTATAAATTTAAATTTAATAATAAATTTAATAAATAACGCAGGTCATCTATTAACGAATGCATAATGTGATGCTATCATTTAATCTAGGCGATGATTTAGTGGAAAAGATGAAGAGTTGTATTTTTGCCCGCAGTTAGTTTCTAGGAAGTCCCCGCCCCCTCATATTCCGCCGGGAAGCTTGGAAACTAACAAATCGAAAGTAAGGGGCTTATCGAGGTATTGGGATATTTATCACAAATGAAAAACTCGTTCACTTGAAAATATAAAGAGGAAAGTATAGAGCAAAAGACTAAATCGTTGAGAAGCAATACCTTCGTAGTGGGATTGCGGTCCAGCCTCGTTCCAAAGATCAGACAGAGGATCCTGTAAACGAGGTTGATGCCGTCGCGTGAATTTTTCCCATTGTGCCAATGCGACTTAATAAGTCTCTATACAAATACCTCTTTTTCTATTCTTAGTGTATCCAAAGGGAACTCGGAAGATAAAGTTACGATTCCGATACCCGACACTCCAAACCAAAAGACTTACATTCTTACCCCGAAAATATCTGTGACACGTCCTGAGGGAAACACATCCGCGCTGAATTATTAGACAGCAAGGGTAAGTTAACCCTTTAGGGAAATCTCTAAATCTTAAGATGTAACGGTTTACAGTAAGTTTTCTCAGAAATTCTATCATCAACAACGTAGTTTCAAATTTTCACGAGCCAGCGCAAGACCGGTACACCTGTCTTGAAAAATTATGTTGTCCTGCATGGTTTATCCTGGCACCTAGCGTTCTCGCTTTTGGTCGCGTGGGTGCCCGTGACAGCATATGCAAAGCTGGGAATGAGAACGAAGCGGCTGGTGTCTCGTGGTACACATGAAATAGTCTTGAATGACTCGTTCTAATTCCATCAGTGATTTTTCTGTCAATCACGTGATCATTTGCGACAGATCATGTAAACGAAAAGGCCCGAAGACAAGAACTGCACATAAGGAAAAACTCGCGAGTCTCGTATGACTCCATCTCGTGGCCAGTGCCCTTGTTTATTTTGATCACTTGATCAACGAGAAAACGCAAATTGATTGAACCAGGGGACGGGAGGGTGTGTAGACTGTGTAAGTTTGTGTAAACGTTTGAGTCAATTTTTAAAATGATTACCAACTCGAGTTTTCTTTTCTCCACTAGTAAAGATGAATTCTCCACGCTTGTTTAAAGATTGAAAATATAAAGAAGACTTGCAGACGACGTATTATGAATAAATTTTTTAATCTATTGTCAATAAAAGACCCATTTTAAGAAGATTGAAATGTGATTCATTTCTTTGTGAGTTTATCACGGACAAATTATTAGCAATTGGAACATAGCTAACTGAACCGCGCAATCAAATTCAAGCTATGTACGCGTGCTCAAAATCCCGATAGTGCACGCTAATAGCGTCAGCAAATTGCTTCGCCAGAAATTTTTTTCTTCGTGCGAGCGGCCATTGTTAGCGTGGGGAAAAATAATATAGACATCGCGACAATAATGGATACAAACAGAGACTCGGCGTACTTGTCCGAAAACAAAGACAATGTTTCGACCTTTTCCCTTGGGCTAGAGTTCTTAAATGAGGCAGAAAAAGAGAAAAACAACGGAAAAGGAGACTCGGCATCAGCACCTTCACGATTCGCTTCAACTAATGTTGTTGACCGTTTTTCGCGTCGGATTTGATGCACAATTTCACCGACTCTGTTCTAAAACAATTGGTTCATGCTTTAGCGTGCACTATCGAGTTATGGAGCACGCGGGAATTTTGGAGAGCACTCAAGAAGCTAGAGTTGCCCTCGACTATCGCCTCGGGTAACTCTTACGTTTTTTTCGTGCTCTCCAAACTTCCCGCGTGCTCCTTAACTCGATAGTGCACGCTAAAGCATGAACCAATTGTTAAATAGGAAGGGAGAGGACCGAAAAAAGGAAAAAGCGTTCGGGCGGGGGGACACAGGGGGAAGAAGGGAGAAAAGGGCAAACCAGAAAGCGATGGAGCAACGAATAAAAGCGCGTGCGAAAAAAGCAACAAAGAGGGAACGACGAGTAAGTGAAGAGAAACAAACAAGAAAAAAAGAGACAGTCAAAGATTGGCTGCAAAAAATTTGAACAAAAGAGCGAGGGGGCCAAAGAACGAAGGAAAAACGAACAAGTGAATGAAAGAGAAAGCGAATGTGTAAATAAACAAAACTTAAGGTAACGGACGATTAAACGACGAAAGGGCGAGCGAACAAACGAAAACAAGGGCGAATGAGCGAAATGAACAAACGCATGGGAGACAGAGCATGCGAACAAATGAAATGTAAGGTAAACGCATAAAGTACAGAACACACTCAATAATGTTATGTCTTTTACTGCATAAAACCTGACGTAAAGCTCCTTATCACTCTGTACATCACATCAGGATTAACATAGAAGATAAATTTAATCTCATTTCAGCTTTCATAATTTTGGTTCTGTATGTACAACCTTATCCTGCTCAACTCGTAAAATACATGTACATTAAGCTCACTGATTAATCTGAGATTAACAATAATTTGGCATGACTAAGAAAAACATCAAGAACAGTAAGAAATGAGAACAAACTCTTCTCAGTTTCCTAACAGATTGTATTATTATATAACTGTAAAGATGGACACTCGCGCTAAACATTGTTGAGTAGTATTATTTAGTAGTAGCTCTTCAAATTACGTACACGCTCTTGCAGGCCACTTAGAGCAATCTTCAACTGAGTGTCGAATGTAAACCAGAATCGCTTAAGTTTTGCTTCACTTCGCTCTGTGATGGGTCCAGGAAACTTGCACTATGCTATAAACTAATTTTGATTTGGTGGCCGACGTTTTCCCGCGCTTTTGGTAGTTTGCCTGGTTTTAACTTTGAGTCCTAATCGGCTGATGATGAGGCAAACCTTGTCTACGATTGGCTGTTGATTATTTTTGGTTATGGATTTACGAAAGTCAATTGAAAACTGGCCGAAACTTGAACAATGAAATTGTAGGGAACTACCAATGATTCTAAATAAATTCAACTAGGCCAAACAGTGCTTTAGGTTAAAGAAGGGAAACACGAAAAAAATATGTATATTGACAAAAATCACTGCTCGTGGTCCTAAGTCAGGATATGCCCATTGCCTTAGCAATGTCAACAGCTCGGACTTCTTCTGATGTTTACGAAAAGAGCAATTTTCAAATGTGTGTCGAAAATAATCCAGGACTGGTATTGTTTTGTTTTACTTTGCTCTGTGATTGGTCCCGCGCTTTTTGGCAGTTTGGTTGTTTTGACTTTCAGTCCTCATTGGTTCTTCAACGTATTTCCCTTTCTTCTGATTGGCTGTTGTAATTACTTTGGTTTTGGTTCAACGACACTCGATCGAAGAGCGCTCTTACTTATCTCAGGTTATCTGACGAAATCATTTGCCCAAAGGAATTATACTCGTCCTATTTCACACTCAAGTTTAGCTATGGTATTATGGTAAGGGAACAAACATAATCTTTACAATATGATAACAATAAAAAATCCATTACATCCGCTCAGCAGAATTATAACGAAATCTTTGAGATACAGAAATAAATTATGCGAAGAAATAAATATGAAGAAACGAACGTACAAAGAAATCATCATCGAGATTTTCCGTTTGAAAAAACTAATGCCTGTGAATTTTAAAACCTTTACGAAGACCACTCCCTTAAAATCAACTGCGTAATTTCAAAAATACATTTCCTCTAAAATCAATATCATTAAGTGCAACAAACTACTTGCAATCTGGCTCTCGACTATAAAAATATTTGACGGTAAACAATTAAAAAAAAAAAAAAAATGAAATGTCTCTTTTCAATTCATGGTGAGTCAATTTGATTGAAGCCAAACCGACAAGAATTACATTCTAACGTTTGTCAAATTACTATCTAAAATTTGTATTAGCTAAAAATCAAATTTCATTTTTGAGTCCTATTGTTGCTACATAATGAAAATCACTTCTAAAATTCTCTCAATGGCTTTATCCTAGCGTGCTAATTAATTATTAAAAAAAAAAAACACTCTTACATCTTCTAGAATTTTAAATTACACATAAAGCTATCTGTCTTTAAAATAGCCTCATTGTTAGCCAGTTCACCAGATGCTGTGGGAATATGCGTAGGAAAGTTATCTTATTTTCATTTCTTACCAGTATACTTGAACCAAAATTTTTCTTTATGCGTTTACGTATCTCTAACCTTTTAGCTCCCTAAATCATGAGCAATTTTCCCTACTGACCGCTATACATTTCCTGGTAAACTTAACAGTAGAATTTGATTACACCCTCCAGCTGTTTAGTTTGTATGTTCTCGTGACCTATTTGCAAAATAACAAGGGAAAATCGTAAAGAAAAGTGCCATGTCCATTAATTCTGGGAGGTGAAAGGTTGACAGAGGCAATCAACCCCATCTAAACTTTGAGACGACAGCTAATTCTATTTTACAAGTAATATCATCTGTTTCTTTCTTCTCGCACTTGTCGAAGTATCAAGACAAGATACAAATAGTCAAAAAGTTACCACCAGATAGTTTCGACGTTTTGCTCTAAAACAGACCAACAGCTTTCTTCAGATTGATCTGTTTCCAGCCCGGGAGTTTACTGAAAGCTTCTTTCTCCATCTTGAAAATCTCCTGAAAAGAGAAACAACAAAAGATCGTTCAATTGTCGCGCCGACCTTTCACCTTCAAAAATGGCCATTTTGAACCCCCCTCTCCCCCAAAAATAAACAAACAAAAAACAAACAAAAGCAAAACAAAAAAAAAATTGGGCCGCTCACTTTGACGAGTATATCAATGTGCCGATGGACTGCCCATTATTTATCACCTAAGGGGGGAGGGGGGATAGGAGGAAGGGAGGGATAGGGGAGGGGGATAGGGAGGCCGGGGAATCAAAGGATTTTGGTCGTGTCACGATAAAGTTGACCTGATCCCCCCTTAAGGCTCTGTAATATTCTTATGATTCCACCTCACTGGCAGTTAATTGGTTGTCAATTATCTATACATATATACATACATGCATAGGTTAGTTGACCACTCCCCATGGGGCTTTTCAGAGCCAATCTTAAAACACTATGCAGGGAACTTTACCAGACTGTATGTAGCGGTTTACATTGAATAAAGACATATCTAACAGATGCCCTCAATTTCTAGTAAACCGACCAGACAACAACACCGGGAGCTATATTCCCTACTCTTTGCGATAAGTGTGTGGGTTCTTTAACGTCTCCTGCTAATCAGTACAGAGAAGATGCAGGAGACGGGGCCCTCGGTTTTTCGTCCTAACCCGAGACGACTAGAATGTTTAACCATTCACAGATATCATAGCAAAGGCAGCACATTCTCCTCAGTTATTTTAAGACCCTGAGTGATGGTCCAGTCTGGGGTTTAAACCCTTGACCTCCCTCACGGCAGTCCGGCGCTCTTCAACATGAGCTAACCGGGCGGGCTATAATCCCCATTAAAAATCTGTTCGTGATGAGTGATCCCAACTCCTCTCCCCCTTAAAAACCATGTGACCCCACAATATTCTCTGGCCCACTCCCCACTCCCCGTGATAAATAATGACAAATTAATGGCATAAAAACGGCTACAGTATCATGAAAAGGTCTTCTCCGACAAACTAGATCGATCTATTGACTATCTTTTTTTTGGATGACCCAGGAGAACAACATGAGCAAAAGACGTTTCGTAGAAGCCTAACCAATGCTCCAACAACGTCGAAAGTTCGCTCAAAATTTCCATAAGTACCTTGACAATTTGAGCAAAATATCGTCGTTTCTTTTCACTCGCGTTTTGATTGAGCTCCTACTTGAGTATGAAAGCTCAAAAGAAGCTACGCGATAATCAAATAATTACTGCGTCTGTGCAAGCTGAGTGCGTCGAGCTGAACAATACACTGGAGCCACATCTCATCAAATTATGATGCTAAACTCACCTTAAAGTCATCGTCGCTTAGGTAAACTTCAAGTTTCGCTGGATCAACTCCTTGAGGTGGCGGTATCTTCTGAAGTTCAGCCAGAGTGTAAAAGTCCCTTTGAACATCATCGAGGAATAGTTTAGAGAAAGGGCATTTCGTAGAAATTTGATAAGCCAATCAGATTAAATGAAATGTCACGTGGAGCTAAGGGCATCCAATGCTAAAATAAGCACTCAGCCTGAAAGGCGGGAAAATGTAACCAACCAAGTCGCCTGACTGGTTATAAGAGAGTGGCGCAAGTTTTCTGGACCAATCACAGAGCGACGTTAAGCAAAACCATTTAAATCCAGGATTTCTGGATTTAAGATGTTTTTTATTGCAAAGTTCAAGCATTGGCCCTCTGTGTCAATGTGAATGGTCTCATACTAGAGGTTTTATGAAAACTGCTGAAGGAGAAGAACACAGCTTCGCTTGTCACAAAAAATTTATTATCACTTACTTTGTAAACTGTTGTAGTAAGTCGCTAGCAGAGTGTTTCGTATTAGGTTGTTTTCCATCCTGGGAAACAGACGCAAAAAAATGACTGAGTAAAATAAAGGGAACGAAAGAGTGACTTTTAAGTCTACCAAAAGGAGCGCGACTTGCGAAGGAAAACTTGCTCGTTTGCACACTTCGACAGAGGACATACCAGTTTCTGTATTTTGATAACATCTGGTGTTTCATTCCAGTAAGGAAAGAGAACCTTAAACGTCATCGGTTCCATGCCGGCATACACCACGTGCACTCGGTGAGAGACACGCTTCCCAGCCTCTGAGGGATAAGGAAAAAAATCAATAAAAAATTAATAAAAAAATCAATAAAACATCAATAAAAAATCAATACTACACATCATTGAGAGGCATGGATGATAGACGAAAGGTTAAATTTCTTCTACTTCATAATGAACGGAAATTAAATTTGCCACAACGTACGCGATTGTTCTTCGCAACGCTCGTTAATCTACGTAAATGGCTGGAGTAAGTTCGGGGAACTTCTGGACAATGGTCAGAAAATTGAAAATTTCTTACGAAGTAGTACTTAAAACACATTTTAAATTTTTACTAATAAACTCGAGAAACACAACTAGATACCCAACGACTATAATATCACTTTCAGCAACAACAACAACAACAACGACAAAAAATAAAGATTCAAGTCTCACACCTTTAGCATAACTCAGCGCTGTTTCCATGGCGAGTTTTCTGTCTCTGTCCCAGCGCTGTCTACCTGAGCCTGTTCGCACATCGTCATCATCCTCAGGCATCCAACCTTCCCACACGTAGACTTCATAGTAACCGTCTACGATAAACAACCCTGCAGGCAATCAAAGAATTTAACTATCAGTAATCTGCGCGGTCTCAGTAATACTAGCCTTCCGGCAAGTTCTTGGGAGGTGAGTGTAGGTGGGAAATGCTTCTCCGCTGGCGTAGTTCTAGAATAATTATGCTTAGCTTCAGCACCTGGTTGTTTGGCCGTGTAAAGGTCTTCCTGTAGGAATGGGAACGGGCACAGCTTTGGTTCGGATCGTGAGGGACACAGAACTTCACTCGCTGTAAATTTTCCAGTGGCGCTGCTGAGTTCAAAAAGTCGAGGTTGGTAGTTGTGTTTGGATGGATCTGAGACCAAAAAAAATCCTGAATAAATAAACACGTTGACAAATCCTTAGAACAATACGACGTAGTCGAGCAAGAATCAAGAGAAAATCTGTCCCAATTCAGATGAATCGTTGCCTCCTTTGTAGCTATTTTTCAGACGTCACACAACGCTACCTTCCGCAAAGCTCCCCAAAAATGGCTGCCAAAAGAGATTAGGATGAACCAAAACTTTCCTAACTCTTTTCCTGTTCGTTAAAGGCAAGGCTCCAGTTCACTAAAATAGCCTCGCAAAACAGAAAACCTTTCTTCCAGCAGTATTTTCATGGGGTTATAAGGACGTTGCTCTACAAGTTGGTTCTAGCTTTGAAGTCTGTGGATAAAATTCTGGTATGTTACCATTCAAATGAAAGCTCCCAGAGAAATTCTTTTACCTGGTACTGTATAACATGCTATGCCAGGCACTTCCAACTTAAGAAGCTAGGAATAAAAACCATGTTTGTTTCTATTCAATAAAAAGCTCCCAACCGTACTTTTTTCGGAGAAGTCCACAACACGTTCATGTAGGCTGACGTATTATTTGCGTCTACTCGCACGACGAGTGAACGCGGTCAATTACTTACCATGCGCCAAACTGCAGTAGTACTTCTTTCCACCAATCACTTTCCAAAACTCTTCTGGTTCGTTTCCTTCTTCGATCTCACTGAGAGAGAAAGCTGCAATCCCTGCCATGTTGCAATCAACACTCTTCCTGCAATCCAGAAATGTTTGTGTATGCATTTATTTTCTAGCAATTTCTTGCACGATGGAACATCAAAAGGCCTAATACAACTCAATGGCGGCAAAAAGCAGGTGAGTTGGGCACGATAGCTTTTAAGTCTGCATCTGATTGGTTAAAAGGGTGGCGCGGGTTCGTCAGACCAATCAAAAAGTGGTAGTATACATTTCAAATGAACGGTAACCAAAACCAAAATAGTCACAATAGCCAATAATAACGAAGGAAAATATCACAACGAAGCAAGAAAAACCCAAAGTAAATACACGCAAACTGCATGAAAACAGGAAAAACGACAGTGACCAGGTCGCGAAAGGTTTACTTTGCATCTCTTTGGGTGAAAGGATAGTGCAATAAAAGAAAAATAAAAGAACATAGTTCTAGAACAACACGATTACTTTGGGAACTCAACTGCAAACTGCTCTAACGTGGCAAAGTAAACCCCAGCCAAATCTCCCACGACACTTCCCCAACCATCACTGGTTTACTTCTGTTAACTTCTGCCTTACCTTTCCTGGACTTTCTTAGCAGCTGCTTTGGCTGTAGCACGAGAATCTTCACTAGATTTACATCCATGCCACAGGTATATGTGAGCTTCGCGCCGTGACACCAGAACTAAACTGGTCCTAGATCGCAGCGAATATGAACTACGAGATGAAAAGTAAAAAGTTACTTTTTGTCTTCTATACAGCTTTCATCTATGCTGATCAAGCCAGACAAGTGTGTTACGTAACACGTTGTGCGTGACGACTGTACTCAGCGACGAGCATGGTGCGCGAGGGGACTAAAACGGTAGTACATGCGATACAACGATCAAATGATCACAAGAGAGTATTAAAAACGAACACGTTATGTGATGAACGAGTCGCGCGATAAGCGTGTTTCGTGAGACAAAACAGTCAAAATAGAAAGAGAGTACTTCACGACGAACGTGTAACAAGACGAACTGTCCGCGTGACAAGCGAAGTGCGCGAGGAGACTACAACTGTGCTTCACGCAACACAACAGTGAAGCGATCACAACACCGCGAGCCTTACTTTGCTTTGACTTGATTCAGGCAGGCCTCTCCGGGTTCTTCATTACGAATCACATACAAACGAGTTTCAGAGGTGTCTGTCAGAGAACGAAAGCAAATGAGACTGAGTCACATGAATTAACAGGCGTCTTGTAAAATGGAGAAGAAAATTTGGTGTTACATCAAGATAACTCGCTGAAGGTAATAAGCTTAACTATCGTCGCAACGTGTTCACTGAGTTACAAACAAATCTCTTCAGTGGTTAATAAGTAAATAATAATTATAAGTAAAGCCCACCTGTAAATTTTGCTGTGTTATCGTCTACCATGTTTTTCCTATTGAGCAAGTGAAAGTATCAAGTTATCAGAACCAGTTCATGTTCTATGTGGATATATCAACAAAGTTGAAGTGGTAAATTGACCACCGTAACGATTACGCTCCGACGAAGGGCTAACGCTCGAAACGTCAGCTTTTGTAAACGTTACGGTGGCCAATTTACCACTTCAACTTTGTTGATATATCCAAATTATTTCGTTACTCCCACCAACGCAGCCCCAAACAGTCTCTTTCGAAACTATCAGCCTTTATTCATTTTCTATGTGGTTGCACAAAGAGAAGGACCCAACAATAACGCCGTACGCCCATGGTATGCACATAGGAGGGAGGGGCAGGGGGAGTGTCCGGTTCGAAATACCTATACCCCCCTCCAGGTGTCATTTGGCGCCACCCCGACTACACCCCTTCTTTGACTGCGTAAAGCGCCTATGTGTTGTAGGTGATGACCCAATAACTGGGTATTTGCAACAATATATTGTATATGTGTTACTAAAGCATCCTGTAAGTTTTGTCTGTCCTCCTACCAAAGGAGTCCATCTTACAAAGTAGGGACATTAAGCAAACCACGATGGCGACAGCAACAAGAATGAGGCAAAACAACAGCGGAACAATGGCGCAGCACATAGTTATTAAACTTCGTACATTTCCATGCCGTGCTCTGCTATACAACAGCGTGAAACCATCACATTTTGCGTAGTTTTGAGGCGGGACACCCGACGGCAAATTATTCAAAATTTTCTGAAACCCGCGCAGCTTTCACATATTACGCTGATGAAGAGGTCACGCGCCGTTTAAAACGGAAAACACACCGAGTATACACCAATCTCCTTCGCAGCTGTTCTTTGAGGATGTCACACAACGCTTTCTCCAGGAGGAGGACAGCGTTGCGTGACATCCCACAAGCCAATCATCGGTTGGCGTCCTCTGTCGTCGTGGTGGTGCTTAAAGCCCCCTTGTGATGTCTCGTCACAAAATATCATGTAAGTGACCACACAGTGTCCACTGAGAAGACATGACATGCTAAACTACTTGATATATGCAGTGCTGGTGACAGTGGCAGTGAGGCGGACTCATGAAAAGGTCAAACATGTAGCAATGAGATTTGAAAATGAGATTTTAGATGTTATTTACATTTAAAATTTGAACTTTTTTTAGTACTAACTTCAAGAAAAGTTAAAAGTCTTTTCTTTTAACTTCGGTACAATTATGCAGTTTCACGGTTACCGTGATGTACTTGAAGAAAATAATTTCAAATTTTGGTTTCATTAAAAGAAAAAAAAAATTAAAAAGTTTAAGTGTTTGGCTTTAGCACTACCATTTTTACGCAAATTGTTTTGAATTGCGAGGTACAATAGGACCGGCTTTACAGAATCTTTTTAGAAAATGGCTTGTAGCTATTATTCACAATCCACTTATATTGAACCAAAAATTTTATATAAAAATGTCAGTGTTAGAAGCCGTACATTTCTTCCTGGGCAAGTAAACTGTTGAGCTTCGTGTTGGGGAGGGAGGAGGGGGTAGTTGTAAAGGGGGATTGGGGAGAGGGTTGGGGAGGGGGGTGGTAGGTGTTGAGTCTGTTTTGTCTTTACAGCTACGAGGGGTAAGTTTCTAAAGAAACTGTAGTGCTGCGTCGGTGAAGGGGTGGGGTTGGGGGAGGTGTTGCAAGATGATTTTTTTTGTCAACTGAGTTAATTATATAAATTCGCCCCCGATGAGAGTTATTAAAGCTTTAGCCCTTCGTTAGCCCTTCGTTAGCCCTTCGTTAGCCCTTCGTTGGCCCTTCGCTAGTCCTTCGTTAGCCCTTCGCTCTGCCGAAGGGCTACGTTCGAAACCCAAGCTTTAGAAACTCTCTACGGTGGCGTCTCTTATGAAACAAGCGTCGGATTATCATAAAGTTATAGAATATCTTTTGGACCAATCAGAGCATGCTTAGCATATCAGTAATTAATTAATTATCAAAAATCAATATTAATTATTATTAATATCATCTCATCAAAGATGTATCAGATCTTTAAACCGTTATTTTCCTTATCAACGTGATTAACATTTCAACGTATTTCAACAGTTTTCAGCAGATTATCTAAGATTCTTCTGTTAATTCAGAACTTGATTCTTTGTTTCAATTTAAGTAAGGTAGGGTTCTATTCCAATCACTAACAACATCGCCGAAACAAGTTTAGTTAATCATAATAACGAATTGGTTGGTTCAAGTAGGGACACTATTTCCTGCCAAGGCCATTGTTTAAAGTAATTCCTTACGTGTCTATTATTGTTAGAAAATCACTTACGTCTCTGTGTCATACCAGCTCTTGGGTAAGCTGTTAATAAAAGAATTGGTGAGGTAAAATTTCACATAACGATAGTAACTGTTAAAAAGGTGGATCAACTTTTCTCAACGTTCAGAGTTTAGTCCTTTCTTCTCATACTGTGCCGTCACATTGTGGCAGATTATAGAGAAAATGTTTTAAGACATTGCTCCTTTAACCTGTACATTTTCACGATAATTGAAAGACATTTATTTGGCTTGAGAAAAAAAAGCATCTCCCATTGAAAGCTTATTACAGTCGTCTGCTTGGCAAGTGTGCGAGAAATGAGTTATTCGAACGTGGATACGCCAATTTTCAAGCGGAGAATTGAAAGCAAATGCATTCGTTTTTGTCTTCTAGACTTGGCTCTGCGATTGGTCTAAAAAACCTCGCCCCAGTCTCTTTCTCTCTGTAACGACTTGCTTGTCTCAGTAAGAGTTTTATTGGATCCTCGTAATAATTCTCCCCGTCCATGTTGCTTTATTCACTCAGAATAAGAGATGCTTCCTTCCTCGAGTAAAGTACCCTAAGTGTAATTTATGTCACATTAAATCGTGATAAATGATATATGGACATATATAATGTACATATGTAACAAATACGTGGAGAATTTCGGTTCCTTATGACGATGTTGGCCAATGAATCAACACACTGGAATGCTGTGCTCGTGGTTGTGTGATTGAGAACAACCAACGTGAATTTCTGCTTTCCTATTGCAACACAATGATAACATTGACGTCTACAATGCATGCGTTGTGTTGGTCCTATGTACAACGAGATGCTGTCAATTTGATCTTCGGAGGACATATTTAAGGAAATATCTTAACATACAGATTCATCATTCAAAGACGACTTCTGCGAATGGGCTTTAAGGCCGAAACCGCTGAGGCTCACCCCTGTTTCCAAAGAATAAAATGAGTAAAATCATTGCTACTCCTTTAGGATTGGAAGCCATTTCATTGAAAGATACTCCCTTCCCCTCCCCAGCTAAGATATTTTTCGCGTTAACTTAAAAATTTCTACTCCTTCGTGAAGAGAGGCATTACGAAGATTTCTCTTGACCAAGAAAAAAATCACCCGAACATGTCTTATCCATAGTTCTTTGGATCGCAACAGCAGACCTCTGAACATTGTGCAACTCTGAAGAACATCACTCCATATCAGTGGTCAAATAAATTATTACTGATAATCAAAGACTATTGATTCATCGAAAAACTAGACGACCACAAGAAAACACCAAGAAAACAATCACCAAGATCACCAAGAAAACAATCACCCGAACATGTCTTATCCTAACTTCTTTGGATCACAACAGCAGATCTCTAAACATCGTGCAACTTTGAAGAACATCACTCCGTATCAGTGATCAAATATTACTGATAATCAAAGACTGCTGATTCATCGAAAAACTAGACGACCACAAACAGTGTACCTGCCAGTGTGGATGATCATTCCCCCTTTAAAGAGATTCAGAAATACTGGAGTTTCCTTTCCTTGCACCACTCTTACCTATTAAGATAAGACGGAAGAAAAAAGTAAAACTTCTAACCAATCAAAAGAAATAAAAGACAGGGCGGCACTCACATGCAAACAGGGAAGGACAGACAGACAGATAAACATACAGACAGACAAGCAGACAGGCAGATAAGAAGACAGGCAGATAACCAGGCAGGCAGACAAGTAGAAAGGCAGGCAGGCTCACAACAGACAGAAAGGCAGATAGACAAAGGCAGACACACAGGTAGATATGCAGAAAGACAGGCGGGTAGAGAGACAAACAGAGGCAGGCAGACAGACAGACAGACAGAAAGACAAACAAACAGACAGACAGACAGACAGATAAACAGGCAGGCAGACAAGCAGAAAGGCAGGCAGGCTGACAACAGGCAGAAAGGCAGATAGACAAAGGCAGACACAGGTAGACATGCAGAAAGACAGGCGGGTAGAGAGACAAACAGAGGCAGGCAAGCAGACAGACAGACAGACAGAAAGACAAATAGACAAAGGCAGATAGACAGACAGACAGACAGGTAGATAAACAGGCAGGCAGACAAGCAGAAATGCAGGCAGGCTGACAACGGGCAGAAAGGCAGAGAGACAAAGGCAGACACAGGTAGACATGCAGAAAGACAGGCGGGTAGAGAGAAACAGAGGCAGGCAGGCAGGCAGACAGACAGACAGAAAGGCAGATAGACAAAGGCAGAAACATAGGTCGACATGCAGAAAGACAGGCGGGTAGATAGACAAACAGAGGCAGGCAGGCAGGCAGACACACAGACAGACAGAAAGACAAATAGACAGACAGACAGGTAGATAAACAGGCAGGCAGACAAGCAGAAAGGCAGGCAGGCTGACAACAGGCAGAAAGGCAGAGAGACAAAGGCAGACACAGGTAGACATGCAAAAAGACAGGCTGGTAGAGAGACAAACAGAGGCAGGAAGGCAGGCAGACAGACAGACAGAAAGGCAGATAGACAAAGGCAGATAGACAAAGGCTAAAAGACAAAGGCAGATAGACAAGGGCAGACACAAAGGCAGACACATAGGTAGACATGCAGAAAGACAGGCGGGTAGAGAGACAAACAGAGGCAGGCAGGCAGGCAGGCAGGCAGACAGACAGAAAGACGGAAAGGTAGATAGGCAAGCAGACATGAGTACAACCGGCCATACAGACATAAAAACAGACAGACAAACAGACAGGCAGACTGTTTGACAAACCGACAGACTGAAGTCAAGCAGGCAAACAGACAAAAATTAAGGTTCTTTAGAATGAGCTTTGACCTTTCATCACTGCAGCTACCGCAAGTCATAACTCCAATTATAATGCCAAAAGTATGTGCGTTACAGTTACGTCAAAGATTCTATTGCACATGCGCAGAGTCTGGATAACACTTTCAATCCACATTTGAAATCCTCACCTGCGGTCCTTTTTCTTCATCAAGTTCTACAGCCATGATGGCAGCCGCGCCCTTCTCATTCACAGAACAGTCATTTCCTTGCCAGAAAAAGTATGCACAGCGAACACGCCCAGCAACGGTTGAACGACAACGAGACTTCCGATCTTTGACTATTCTATCGGCGAGCACAAAGTAAGCCCACCTGATCACGTACCCCTCCCCTGCAACAACAAAATAGTACATTTAACTTAATTCTTGATGAAATTGAATGGAGGTTTGCTCTCAAACCTAGTGGCCCACCTTACTTAACTAAAACGCTATGCTAGTCTATTGAAAGAAAGTCCCCCGACGGGGAATTATGTCGAGTTTCCCTGACATTTCATGAGTAACCATGTAACCTTTTCCACCCTTAAATCAATATCTTTATTTTCCACACTGTTCTCTAAATTTTTCTTCTAGCACTGAAATGGAACATTCCTCTGACAATCAGGAGCTTCTTAAATTAGTGATCGTTTCCTGTGTTCTCATGACCTTTACATTTGTTCTAAAGGCGATAAAGTGAGGAGAAATTAGAACCCAGGTACGCTCAGGGATTAGAAGGTTTAACTCCTCTGTTAAGAAATGTTAATGACGTGTTTTACATCCGAAAATAACTCAGAGACTCGACCATGGATCCAACTCAGACCCTAAATCATAAAATGAACTAAATATCCAGAACAAAAAAAAGACTGCATTAACCCTTAACCAGGGCTCGACACTAACTTTTCAAGTTACTAGCCAAGTGGCTAGTGACATCTTAGATGTTACGACAATTTCAGTTTTTTGAACAGCCAACTGGCAAGTGGAAATCGAAAACCACTCCCCAAAACTGAATTTCTACTAGTCTGTGGCTAGTGGGCAAACGTTAGTGTCGAGCTCTGCTTTACTCCCTAACATCAATATGTATATTCTCTATACTGCTCTCTATACATTTCCTAAGGTGCTGAAAGGTGAATTTGTTTTACAATCAAGAGCTTCTGTAGTTAGTGATCATTTCCTTTATTCTCGTAACCCTAATGTTTGATTCAAGGGGGGTACTGTCGGGAAAAATTAGATGCCTTTCGCTCGTATGGTTTAAAGGATTAATAGTGATGTGTCTACCTGAGTGGAAATGTCCATGTTGCGCTGGCTGTACTTCGAAATTTCTGTACTCGTTAATATGCCAGACTGTTAGACCAACAGTTGTCACAAGGTTTCCTTCTTTGTAAATGTCTCCAACCCACACAGTCGGGATCCCATTGCCACGCCCAACATTCGTCCCTTCAAACATCTGGCTTGGCAATGGCGGTGGACTTTTCAGCATGCTCTTAGCATCACAGGGCTTTAGTTCCACAGGAGGAGGCTAAATGTATGGAGAAAACCAACACGAAATTACTGTTTGTGAACATACCTCACTCTCGCAAGGTCAACACTATTCCGTGTTTTCCTTTCTGTTTTGCATGTTTTACAAGCGTAGAAATTCACAGTAGCGCTCACAAGTAACTTGACAGTCTTTCGAAACTCAATCCTCGAACCTCGCGTCGAGTTTTGAGACACTCGAAACGAGGAAACACTGGAATTTTCGCGTGATTAATTTACTTTCAAGCAACAATCTGCTTTGAAAACCAAACTTGAAATTTGCCATCTCACCAAATCTACCTCTAAAACAGAACCCTTTTAACCCCCCCCCTCCACCTTCTAGACGATAAAGGAACTCACCAACCCCCCTCCCCCCCCTCCCAGGCGATCAACAATGACCGGTCTCTGATGATAAGCAGTCATCAAAATTCACCCTACCGTTGGTGCCAGTTCAAGCATGCTAGGGTGTCCCTTCATCCGTATAATCTTAGTTGGATCAGGCCAGTCAAGAAACTTTTCACGAAACAGAATTGTCTCTGCCTTTTCGTGAAGCCTTGCAAATAACGTCCATGGAGGTCTGCCGGTTGAAACCTTGTTGTCTAATTTGGTACAATTTTCGGGTTCTCCGTAGGGATAAATTGGGTCATAATTTTTGGCATAAGGTTTAAAGGGCTCTCCATACAGTTGCTTTGCTAGAGCAAAGGCGGACTTTCTTTGACCTGATAACGACTGTTGTCCATTCCACACGTACAGTTCTGAACCAAAGTCAAATATGAAGACCTGAATAAAAACAGAAAGTATAAACCATGATTATTTGAGCAAAAAAATTGACTACATGCAAAACAATAAAGGGGCTAAGTTCCTAAAGAAACTGCGGTGCTGCGTCGGTGGGGGTAACAAGGTAATTTGGTTTTTATCAACAAAGTTGATGATGTAAATTAGCCACCGTAAAGAGTTTTCAGACTGACGTTTCGAACGTTAGCCCTTCGTCAGGGCGAATGTTTCGCACCCAGTCATTATAACGTTCGCACATGCGCAAACGTTTGACCACTGCGTTGGAGATTATTACCCTCAACTATGTGTTTTAAAATACATACACCAGATTTCAAAAATGAATACACCTCATAGATGGTTAAATAGTTGGTCAGCTGCCGAAAAAAGGAAAAGCTTTACTAATAAAATTTTAATACCTCTTTGGTGTCAAAAATGGAGACTTGAGGAATTCGTCCACACATAGTTTCTACTGGCATCAGAGTTGGTGGATCTGTCCAATGAATTTTATAGACCATGTTTCCCTTCACAACACCTTTCTCATATTCTTCATCTTTTGCCATTTCTTGAGCATCTAAATGAGGATAAGTTGGGGCTAGATTTTAGCGCAGACCATACAAAAAAAATAATGGCAATGACCAAATACCTGTTTATTACATATCATTATTTTATGAACTTAGTACTCATAGTCTGATTGGTCAATGCAGTTTCCAGGCGGATTCTTCATCAGGATATAGAGCCATCATTTGATCGGTAACTAGCTATGTCATAAAAGCAATAGAAGATTTTTTTCCCGGGCTCTATAACGTGATAAAGCCACGCGGGATGTAGGAAGAGCACGAAGAAAGCTTATAAATCACGAGCCGACGTCGAAATGAATCATACTCCTGATTGACAAATCAGACTCCCCCTACGCAGTTGTCGACTTTTGTACACTCGCATATAATTACAGACTGAATTGGACTCCACTCACTTCTATTACCAGTACTAACAGACCCTAACATCAGTATGCATATTCTCCATACTATTCCCTCTACATTTCCAAAGGTGCTGACAAGGAGAATAACTATATCTAACAAACGAGTGTCTCTTTAGTTAGTCATCCTTTCTTTATTCTCGTGACCTTTGTGTGTGATATTGGGGGGTTGATATTGTAAGGAGAAATAGCACTTTATAAGATCTCTTATTTTGGTCAGAAGGTACTTGTATGCAAGCTTCAAAGGTGATAGTAATGTTTGCCAACCTCTAGCAGGGTTACTTCCAGGATCTCCACTCAGAATGTTAGCGAATTTGTCCAAGGCAGCATTGAAATCCATGTCTCCTTCTTCAATGGTCACAATGTCACGTGCCTTACAGTTCAATTCATTCTTTGTTTTTATCTTGGAGACAATTTCTGTCACCTACGCAAAAAGTCCAAATAATTATTTAAGACCTACAAACCAAAATGAGATCTACAGTTGCAGTAGCTGAGCCAGCGGTTGGAGCAGAAGCAGTGGAAGTAACCAGGATGAGAAGGAGAAGCAGAAGTGAGAGTGCTAGCAGAAGCAGCAGAATTAAAACAAGGGAAGCAACACAAGAAAACCAAAGCAATAGAAGAAGCAGAAGTGGCGAGAGAAGCAGAATAAAAAGTAATTTAGCAGTAGTATTGGCAATAACAAGAAGCAGCCTTAGCAGAAGTAGGCAACAGTAACTGTTGTATCAGTCGTGGTACATGTGGTAACAGGGTTAATGGTAGAAGAAGGGTTAGCAGTTCATGCAGAAGTAGTTACAAACCTTGGCTTTTTCATAAGGATTGCTGTCTTTTCCAATCCATGAAAATAGATCTTTCTCTGTCACAAGAGCAAAACAGTCCCCAGAATTCAGGGACTTTAGACTTGGTTCAACAAGACGTACTTGAAGATGACGCCGCCCTGGACACAAAACACAAAGGGCTTTTAAAACATGAATGTATGTATGTAAAGGTAAAGGTAAAGTCTATTCAGCAAAAGCGTATCCTGGTTTCCACGTTGCATGAAGCGACTAGGAGAATTACTACCCCCCCCCCCCCTGGGATGCTAGTCCATCACAAGGTTACCCCCCCTCCCCCACAGCATTTCAATAGGCTTCCTTGACAATTTGCCGCTACCCATTTAAACTCCAGGGTGGAGAGAGGCGCTGTGAGAGTAAAGTGTCTCACCCAGGAACACAACACGTTAAGTATATGAGAACGATCCTTCGCAGTAAAGCACTATTTGAGCAATAGTGAAAATCAGACCTGAAAAAAATTTCAGGCCTGTACGGGACTCGAACCACTGACCTCTGCGATACTAGTGCAGCGCTCTACCAATTGAGCTAACAAGCCAACTGGGAGCAGGCCATCAAATTAATTCGATATAAACCCGTAGATGATAAATCAAACAACAACAAACATATGAAACATATGTGTGAACTGCGGTTATGAGACGTATATGAGAACGATCCTTCGCAGTAAAGCACTATTTGAGCAATAGTGAAAATCAGACCTGAAAAAAATTTCAGGCCTGTACGGGACTCGAACCACTGACCTCTGCGATACTAGTGCAGCGCTCTACCAATTGAGCTAACAAGCCAACTGGGAGCAGGCCATTAAATTAATTCGATATAAACCCGTAGATGATAAATCAAACAACAACAAACATATGAAACATATGTGTGAACTGCGGTTATGAGACGTATATGAGAACGATCCTTCGCAGTAAAGCACTATTTGAGCAATAGTGAAAATCAGACCTGAAAAAAATTTCAGGCCTGTACGGGACTCGAACCACTGACCTCTGCGATACTAGTGCAGCGCTCTACCAATTGAGCTAACAAGCCAACTGGGAGCAGGCCATCAAATTAATTCGATATAAACCCGTAGATGATAAATCAAACAACAACAAACATATGAAACATATGTGTGAACTGCGGTTATGAGACGTATATGAGAACGATCCTTCGCAGTAAAGCACTATTTGAGCAATAGTGAAAATCAGACCTGAAAAAAATTTCAGGCCTGTACGGGACTCGAACCACTGACCTCTGCGATACTAGTGCAGCGCTCTACCAATTGAGCTAACAAGCCAACTGGGAGCAGGCCATCAAATTAATTCGATATAAACCCGTAGATGATAAATCAAACAACAACAAACATATGAAACATATGTGTGAACTGCGGTTATGAGACGTATATGAGAACGATCCTTCGCAGTAAAGCACTATTTGAGCAATAGTGAAAATCAGACCTGAAAAAAATTTCAGGCCTGTACGGGACTCGAACCACTGACCTCTGCGATACTAGTGCAGCGCTCTACCAATTGAGCTAACAAGCCAACTGGGAGCAGGCCATCAAATTAATTCGATATAAACCCGTAGATGATAAATCAAACAACAACAAACATATGAAACATATGTGTGAACTGCGGTTATGAGACGTATATGAGAACGATCCTTCGCAGTAAAGCACTATTTGAGCAATAGTGAAAATCAGACCTGAAAAAAATTTCAGGCCTGTACGGGACTCGAACCACTGACCTCTGCGATACTAGTGCAGCGCTCTACCAATTGAGCTAACAAGCCAACTGGGAGCAGGCCATCAAATTAATTCGATATAAACCCGTAGATGATAAATCAAACAACAACAAACATATGAAACATATGTGTGAACTGCGGTTATGAGACNTTCACAACACGTTAAGCTGGCCGGGTCTAGTACCCAGACCTCTAGACTCGAAGTTCAGTACCGGAGTCCATTGCACTGACCATTAGGACAAAGTGTCTCCCACATGTATGTAACTGTGTAACTGCTGTCAAATATTCTTTTGCAATGCAGGCTCTTGTGACCTTCCAAATCTAAAGATTTTATTAACCTTTTATGTGGATAAGCATAATGGGTTTTATTCCCCTGTACTCATCCTTCTCCTTTTCTTCAGGCCCAGCAGTTTTACGCAATCTAACTTTGGTGAAATCTTCAGTGCTGGCCAAACCAGCCAGTGCTGATGCTGCCAGGTCAAGGGTGTGACGTCTCCCTGTAAGGTAGGCCAGAAAACATCATACAAAGGTACTGTTGGTTTGATGTGATGTGATGTGATGTGATGAAATGTGATGTAAAGTGAAATAATGCGAAAAGATGGGATGAGATGAGAGGAGATCAAAACACATGAGAAGAGGTGAGTGAAGATGAGATGAAATGAGAAGAAATCAAATGAGATGAAATGGGATGATGGGATGAAATGAAATGAGAATTGGGAACTACCAGCAATGCATGACCAAATTCAATGTCAAGTAGTAGGTGATAAAAGGAGATGGATCAATTTAAACAAACAATTTGATTTAACCCAAAATTAGTCTTCAACCCAACTACAGTCCTTCCAAATTAATCTGCCATGTTTGATAATGGGTTCCCTATCTTTATTACAATGTCTGTTTCCCCAAACTCCTACCACCGTTCCACAGAATGCCACAAAATTTGCAAATCCAATCTCCACATTACAAGTTCTTATGCTTCAAATATCCGCAAGGAAAAAAGGCAAATAATTTCCTAAAGCGCTGTAACCCTTCACGAAGTGGAAACTTGCATTGTGCTTAGACAGCTAAAAGGAAAAAAAGGACATACACAGGTTGTCAGGATCCTTGTATTTCTTCTTCTTTCTCTTAATGACAGGGTGTTCACTTGTAACCTGTTTCTTTTCTATTCTTGGTCGTTCAACCTGAAAGTCAAATTAACAAATCGACAGCAGTTTAACGTGGTCTGTACTCTTATCTACAACGGTAATTGTCATCACAGTGGTCAACATGTTATGGACTCGTAAGGTGCAGAGAAAAAGATATCATTTAGACCAAAAAAATGAATAAATTGTACCAATGAGATCCAATCAGATTTGAAGGATCCCAAGTGATTTCAAAATGGAGGTAATAAATAAAAAAAATTCACCAACATTCACAGACTGAACTTTTAAAAAGACCACTCTTCACAACTTTCATCAATGACAGATAATAGATGATTGACCAGTTTTAACCCTTTGACTCCTATGAGTGACCAGCGTCTAATTTCTCCTTACAATATCAGCCCTGAATCACACATTAAGGTCAGGAGAATAACGGAAATGATCACCAACTAAAGATCCTCTTGATTGATAAGTAAATTCTCCTCGTCAACATCTCAGGAAATATACAGATGACAGTAAGGAGAATATGCAAACTGATGTTAGAGTGTAAAGAGTTCATTTTGTGCTCTGCTGCTGACTACAGTTGAGCTAGAGGGAACTCAAAAGTGAGCAAGGCCATATGCATGTCCAAGTACTTTACCTCAGTCTCAGTCCTCACGTCATTTCTCTGTTGTAGGTTTTTCACTGGATTTGTGGTTGATCTGTGGTGCCGCTTGGGTCGAATCTTCATTTTGTCCCCTGCTAAAGATGTCAGTTTCCTAGGAGACAACATTACCGGTGAAAAGTCTTACGCTTTTCAGCGAAAAAAACAATTTATGTTGGTTCCCAATGGGGAACTCTGGGGGTACTTTTTGTATAACTCACTCCCATTCATCACAGTGTGCAAACATCGATTTTGTTTCTCTACCTGATTTTTTTTTTCTTCGACACAGGCAATGGTTTTCGGCAACTCCTTCATTCCCCAATATTTAACACCCTAGACTGTCTTCTTTTCAACAGCAGGACTCTTCTTAAAAACTGATACAAAACCTTGACATAAACTTTGTAACCAAACCTCTTTAAAATGGTGTGAATTTAATTTTTGACCCTTTAACTACAAGAAGTGATCAACATCTAACTTCTCCCTGTAATTACCAAACATTATCCAGCAAACAGGTGATGAGAATACTCAATTTTATCCGGTTGAAGTTGTTATCTAGATCTAACACCAAATTTTGGTAACTAATTCAAAAGGGAAATGTGTAGTAGCTAGAGGGGAAAATAAACAATAAGATCTTGAGAAATAAAAGGTTGACCTGTACTTACTCTGTTGTCTGCCCTGAAACAGCATCAAGATCCTCCAGAGTGATCTCTCGAGCATTTGATTCTCTTGATTCCTCCTTCTCCCCAATTGTGGTCGAATCATAAAATTCTTTCAGACCTTCCTCCAAAACACTTGGCCGCCTTCCTCTTTGACTTGAACCTGGAGGTGCCTCTTCCTTGGTTGGCTCATCATTCTTATCCTCTATTGACTGTGTTTCATTTTCCTTTTCTTTCTCCAGCTCTGGCTCCCCATCCAGAGGAATATCCACTGCCACAAAGTCAAACCGCTGAGCAAGATTGGATTCTGATTTCGTATTCATCATGCTGAATGGTTTCAGAGTTGTAGACAACTTTCTTTTAGATTTGCTTTTGGAAGCTGAAAGAAAAAAAATGGGGGAAATCATCCTTTTAACATTTTTACTGCCAAGAGTGATCAGACAGAATTTCTTCACACAGTAGTACCATATCAAGCAGACAAGAATACGAGACTAAATTAATAGAAATATCAATTAGGAGAATATAAGGGTATAGTATGTTGTTCCAATACCAATTTCTTTAAACTAACATCACAAGAATTCTATGGCAGACATTAAGAACAATTATTAATAAGATCTGAGGAGTAATAGATTTAAAGAGCTAATTATACAGAATGTCAAATCATTTGATGGACACCATGAGTCATCACTGCATAATACAGTGAGACAATAAGATAATATATTATTTTGCCAGGGAATTAAGGCAAGTACAACAGTTTATAGGAAAAAACTAAAAAAGGAACCAAGATGGTAAAGGGTGTAAAAGACCACAAAGGATTGTATATTTTGTAGCTCCATATATTTCTCCACTCTGCTCTCTAGCTTAAAAAGGCATTTATTGACAAAGTTGTTGTAAACGACTCACACAGACTCTCATAAACTTTCTCTACTGGACTTCACACGGGAATGATCTTCCTCCTAAAAGTACCTGCTTTTAATTCCCTTTTGATATAACACCTTCCAGAATTAAACAGTACTCTCAAAATGCCACTAACAGTAAACACAGTTGGATTGAAATAAAGCTTCAAAATAACAAAAATAATGTAAGAGGACAAAAACTTTTCCATTATCAAGGAAGCCACTTAATCTTGGGATTCTGAACACAGAAAAAGGCAAAGTTGTCTTTTGTAATCTCAAGTTAGAATAAAGTTTATAACCTACCGGTACTTCTATTTAAAATAAAGATGCCCTACTGTTTGTATCATACAGTCACTGACAGACATTTCAATTGTAATGGTTTGAATGGAATATCAAATGCCCCATTAACAGGCATACATTAAGGGAAAAAAAACACTTTGATAATGGTCAACATTCTAGAAAAACGTAAATGTTTCTTGTTGTACCTTGGAGACATAGTGCAATAAATATTTTTACATAATTATAAAACAAACATTGAAAACTACTTAGTCTGAGGAATCTCTATAATAGTTTCCCCACAAATGCAAACATGACCTGAAAACACATTAAATATTAAACAGAAGGTTCCTTAAAAGGACAAAATTATCCAAGTTTGTTACATTTATTCTAACTCAAAGTACTATAATAAAAATTCATTGTTGGCAAGGATCTTCCATATTCTCAGAAATACATCCACAACCCTGCTAAAATCATTGGTGAGAAAATCAAACTGCAAAGGATCAAAGAAACAGGGGAGCACATGCATATAACTATCATAATTTTTATAAGGAAAACATTTATACAATCCAAAACAGGATCACAAAAAACAATTCCTTGTACGTGTATGACAAAGACATGTAGCTTTCAAATTACAGCCTGTATCAATTTGATGGAATCAAATATTAGGCAGCAAAACTGAAACAAAACATCTCTTCAACCCCTTCAACTGGTCAGCTACAGCTGTATAACTCAGAGAGGTGAGAGCATTAATTTGTGTCTCAAGTTACAGAATGATAAACCTAAAAGATTTACACAATAAATACTTAGTTTTGTTACTTTAATATTCTGTTAGACAGACACAGATTTACATTTCAACTGAAACATTTGCTATTTGTTGCTTTTAAAGAGGAGAACAGTGAACTAACTTGGGATCCAGGTCTCATTTAGTGAAGATTCTCAGATCACATCCTTTGTAATAACTTTCAGTTATTCATTAATATCCAAGTTAATGTTTCCTTTGCTAAGCTTATCAACACTGACAATCTCTAATCAAACTTTAAATATTTCTCTTGCATTTCTCACTGGCTGAGTTGCAATAGAAAGACAAACTTAGGTAAAAAACTGAGCTGTTTTAGGCCACTATCACTTATTCTATTATGACTAAACAAACAATCATTGGCTATGGATTGAAAATATCAACAAAGTGGATTGTGTTACAGAATACTGTCATAACAAAATAGTTTGACCTTGCTAACAATGAGGAAACTATAAACACTGTGTATTATTCTTGTTCTTGATAGAATCATCACCAGCTATTTTTTCTCTGACAACTTTACAAAGGACAAAAACAACTGTAATTTAACCTGTAGGCTAAAATAACATTAATGCTCTCATCCACAAGTTCTAACCACTAAACCACTTAAATTCTCTCCTCTAACACCACACACTTTTCCCTTAGCTGGTTCTGAGAAATAATATTAGTTTTGTATGGATCAACATAAATAACAAATTAAACTCTAGCTGGGCTTTGATAATCTCCATGTTGCAGTTTACACTTTCACTGCCCTGATGGACACTACACATTTTCTACCCAGTCACTAATGAGAATTTAGCTTTTCATCAATAAAACATTCTCTTATCCTGTCTACTTAACAATAAACAGATTACAAAAGCAAAATAGCTTTATATATGACATCTACATCTATATCATGGTTCCAATTTTTTCATTGTTTCAAAATTATTTTTTATTTTTTAAACATGTTCAATTTTTATTTTCTTCGTACAGGTTAACCCTTTAACTTGCAGAAGTGATCAACATGTAACTTCTCCCCATAATATCCATATGTTACCCAGCAAACAGGTAACAAGAATACTCAAACCTATCAGGTAGAAGTTATATTGATCTAACACCAAATTCTTGGAACTAATTGACAAGGAAATGTGTTGCAGCTAGAAGGGAGAATTCACAATCAGATCTTAGGAGTTTAAGAGTTATGATTAAGATCAGTAGGATCATAGGACAGAGAAAAATAAATATGAAGGTGGATTGAAAATTTTATACCAAGAAAAATTTTAAAATACAACATTAACTTGGAATCAAAATGTGGGAAATATATATTATTAGGGGCAAAAGCGAGAGGGATTTAGCTACTGCTTTAAAAAGAAATTAGCATGTACATGGAACTTACGTTTTTTGAGTGATTTTTTTTCCTTCACTGGTTCCTGCTCAAGATCCTCAATTTGTTGCAGCTCTACATCCTTCCCTGAGTTTTCTTTCTCATCTGCTTTTTCCGTTTCTTTTTCAAGATCTTCCATTATTTCTTTCCTCTCAATTTTCTCATCCTTTTCAATTTTCTTTTCAACTTTTACTGACTTTGCTTTCATGTCTGGAGACTTCTGTACAGCTGTTAAAGTTGGCACCGACTTCTTTCTTTCCCTTGATTCCATTTCAGATTGACCCATATCTCTATTCTCCGTCTGGTTAATAGGTACCGTCTTTGCTCGCTGCTTCCGCGATATCTTAATCTTCTCGGAGGTGTAAGGCTTACGTAAAAACATGGCCTTTATAGCTGCAGATACTGCACCATGTTGAGGCAAATCGGTGTCCTCCTCTGGAGGTTTAACCTCATGGTCTTTATTGCCTTCTTTTCCCTTTTCCTTTTCACTTCCAAAAATTGATTTCTTCCTTTTCTTTTTGCTACCTCTTTTCTTTTTAAGACTATCACTTTCAGGGCTTCCAGGTTCCTCTCCCACTTGTTCATTCTCTTTCATGGCATTCTTAACTTTCTTCTCTTTTTTCACCTTACTTTTGACTCTTGGAGAAGAAAGAGGACTTTTCTTCTCATTTGCACCTGCGGGTGTTTTCCACTGAGCATCAGGCTTTGATAAAGAGCCATCACCACCATTGGATAATTTCCTATTCAAGTTGTCAGCTTCTGAAGAAACTTTCCTGGCCAGGGAGAAAGTGATGTCTTCAAACTTTTTCATCTCCGTGGGCGACAAGATCTCCCCACAAATACTGTGAGGACGATCATCAAGTTTAAGAATTGGCCTTGGAGGAACAACCTTTGCATCATCCTTCGATATCAAGAACTTTTCTCTGAGTTCAGCCACAGAAGGGATTTTGACTTCTGCATTCGAAGTTGTTTTAAGGCCGTTCTCTCTGATCAAATCAGCAATAATATCTTTGTGCACTGCAGAAGCAATAGTTTGATGGCGGGGTTTCCCATTTCTAAGTATTGATTTTTTGGGAATTTGCCCATTTTGTTGATCAGTTCTTCTCTCAATGGTTATCTTCCCACTCTTATCTTCTGGTTTGTTGCTTGAAGAAATTTTTCTTCCCTCCAGTTTATTTTGCTTCACATCTTTACCAACTGGTTCAACAGGAATGGGACCCTTTTGAATTGTTTCAGCAGGTCCATTAGTGGAGTTTTTACCTGGCTCCAACCCTGCAAAAAAGCGTTCTCTATCTTCGCGTCTCCGCCTTCTCCTCTCTCTTAACTTGGACACTGTGTCTCTTGATGAATTGTCATTGGCTTCTGACAACACAATTTCAGCTCTCTTAACATCAGATCTCTCTGATTCTCCAGCATGTGCTGAATTACCTGAGGTTTTTACTGTGCATTCAGTTTGTTTCTCTACTGAATTCACTCTGTACTGTGCTTTTTTTCTTGCCCATAGCTCAGACGTTGTGGAAGTTTCAACAGGGCCAACATACTGTACGTTAGGATCTCTACTAATACTCTTCTTAAGAATATTTGTCTCTAGACCTGAGCTTGTTACCTTAGGAGAAACCTGTGATTTCTCAAGTCCTGATGACTCCTGTGCTACATCTGATTTTAAAGGTGCTCTTACATTGGCAAGTACATTTTCTTGAGAAGGTTTTTTCTTCATAGTTCTCTCTCTACTCCTCCTTGATTGAGATGCTGTATTTTCTGACCTCTCTTCCATAGAAATCTTACGTGTTGTTTCCTCCGCAGGAGAAACAGACCGTGATCTACCATCCTCTGGTGAAGTTGAGTTCCTTGAATCAGGTGACTTATCTTTTTTGTGGTGATCCCAAAACTTCAACTTACTCAACATAGAGTTCTTTGCCTTGTCACTTTGTACATCAAAAGACTGTGCTTTCTTAAAATTGCTTCTCCGTTGCTGGAGAAGAGCAGAATCAACAGCAGGATCTGGGCTGAGGCGGTGGCCACCACCAGATGATCTTTCTGCACTAGAACTTCTCGGTAATGATAACATTCCTGGCATAGACACTCTCCTTTTCACAGGAGGTCGTGAAGATCTTGGACCTTCAGACTCCAAATCACTTGATTCCCCGCCAGATTTGCTTTCTTTGGTTGCAAAATATTTTCCTGGCACAGAAAACTTCCGTGGCATTTCAGGAGTTGTCTTTGGGTCACTAGAGAAGGAGAACAATCTACCAGGGCCAGAATTCTTTCGCTTCAGAGGAGTCTTTGGAGATAATGGAGGCGATGATGAAGAAAAACCTTTCTCTGAATCTTTTGAACCTTTGCGAGAGAAAATCCTTGAGCCTTTTCTCTGTAACCTCTCCTCATCATCTTCAGAATCAGTTGATTCCCGTGATTTTTTCCGTGAAAAAATTCCAGAAATTTTTCGTACAGGTTTACTCTTCTTGTCCTCTTTGCTTGGAGTAGACCCAGTACTTGCACTTCGTTTGTGACTTTTCTTAAACTTGAGTCCTGTATCTGATCCAGGACTTTGTTCTCGAGATGATTTCTCACTTACAGTAATTTTCTCCTTATCAGATTGTTGTATCTCATTTTGCATCTCCTGTTTTGAATTCTTTCTTGATCTTTTACTTTCTATTGAACCCTCTTTTTGTGATAAAATTTTTACTTTTGCTTTCCTCGAATCACTGCGAGTAAGAGATCCTTCATAAACGCTAGCAATTTCTCGACTCAAAAGTGAAATATCTCTTGCAGCAGAAGACTCAATTTCATCACCATTGTTGCTATCGCTGGAGGCAGCACGATTATCACTGCTAGCACTTCCTCTGCGTGAGCTGTTCGTTATGCTAGCTTCACTCTTTGAGCTCTGCGAATCTTTAAGTGGAATACTACCAGAATATGAAACAGTGGGTGACTTGGGAGATTTTGGTGATGTAGGTGATGTGGGCGATGCTGGGTTGTCCATCTTAAGCTCAACGCTTCCTGCATACTGAACAGAAGGGGCAGAAGTGCGCCTTGTTGATGTTGATTCTGTAGGATGAAGTTTCCTGCGGTGTGACACTCGTTCAGTTTCTTCACTTTCATTATAACCTTTGTCCTGAACATTTGATGCTGAGGTGGGGTTTACTGAAAGTATTTCAACAGGACCTGATTTTCTGCTTGATAATGTCCTTGTCTCGCTATCAGTGGATCCTTTTGAGGAAGAATATGATCTCCTTGATGGCATAGTGAATGGAGAATCTCGCAATGAGCCGCTGGAATATTGTCTAACTGGAGGACCTTCAGGGCCCCAAACAGGCTGGGTCTCTCGCAGTGTGATACTAGAACGCTGCCTTACAGGAGCTCCTCCTGGCATCCAGTTTGAGTCTGCACCTATTGATGAACTTCCAGAAGTCCTATGTGGAATACTTGACACATGTTTAGATGAGTATGATGATGTTGTATCACGCGTGGTTGACGACACTGAAGAAGACAGAGAACTGCCATAAGAACTTTTGCGAGGACCAACACTACTCCCAGCAGATCTAGAGGTCACAGAGCTGCTCGAGGCACGACGTGAAGTTGGTTTTTTAATATCTTCAGATATAGAACTGTTTGTGGAAGCACCATAGGTTCGTAAACTTCCATATCTGGTAGACTGGGCAGAAGGTGTCACAGATGAAGATGCCGAAGATGCCGACAGATGCCGATACCTTTTAGAGTGTGATAAGTCTTTGCCATTATCAGAACCAGTAGAAGAGTAATTCTTTGGAAGTGAAAAATATCTTCTTGGTAAAGAAGATGGTTGAGATTGTGAGTCCTTGTATCTGTAAGACATGTTCGTACTTACTTCCTTAACCAAGTGACCCTCACTCTTCCACTTTGAAGCATTCTTTAGCTTGTGTGACCCATCAAGTTGAGGCTTTTTGATACAAATTAAGACACTTGTAGTAAATCTTCTTTCAAAAGAAGGCTTTGTCAGGTATTCCTGTAAAACAAAGAGAAGAAATAACTTAAGTGAGTATACTGTTAAGTACACAAACTCAAGACTCTTAAATTCAATGCAACCTGTTGATCCAATGTGAATATATACTAATAAAATGCTTCAGGCATGTAATACGTGACAACCACATTCAAAAAATGTCAAACAACCTGGCTAAGAGAAATCTTTAAAGTGGAAGTCTTCATCACTACATTGAGATTTATGACAGGTGCCAAAGATCTCTTTTCAGTTCTAACTGTGGTTTCAACAGCACAACATCACCTTGCCTTCACCAGAATGCTTCAGACATGACAAGATTAATGTTAACAAGTTCTAGAGTGTTCAAAATTTTGACCCAATATTAACCAAAACAAGAAATTATGTCACACACTAATTGAAACATTTCCAAACAATCGAACAGCGCACGAGAAATAAATATTATAATTTTCAAATCATGAACGAATAAATTTTAGTTGTGTCACGATTTATTCGAAAACGGAACTACGCGAACTTGGCCGGAAAAGACGAAGCGCTGTACTTTCCGAAGAAGTCAATATCACGTATAATATAAAATATGCGTTTCGTAAATTTATGCAAATTCGGATCGATTGAATCATCAAGAAAAAGTGAAATTCGTGACAAAAAATGCGACTTTGTTACAAATTAAAACCTGAATTAAAGGTGGTTCGATGAGGACAACGATTTAACATCAGAAGAAACCTCACGAAAGTTTTATTTTACCTTTATGTTGATTCCACGACCGCAGTTGTTTTAAGTGTTCAGCTATTTATAACAATTTTTCTCCACAGAAACAGTATCGGTAAGATTGATTTCAACTACTTAAATTAACCACCCAAATTGCAAATATATCATTGGGCAGAGTTCCGTCGGAAAAACAACGTTTACGATGCTAGATGTCATTGACAAATTGAACACATTTCAGCTGATCTAATTTGCATAACACTTTTCGGTTCATTAAAAATTGATCGATTTGTCCATGGATGTAAGCTTTAATTTGAGTCATCCGAGCAGGTGAAATGATATTTGGAATTATATAAACATGTGTCTTGGAATGGAAAACGCTGCAAAACTGCAAAGAGTTGGGAATTTTCCTTTGGAACTCTCATTCATTTGGCGATCGAAATGATCTTGCAAACAATATTTCAGCCTCGATTTTCAACGACATGCATCGTAAATATAGGTCAACCCATAGAAATTACCATAAATAAACAACATTGTTTCGTACGGCAGTAGGAACATTGTAAATTGCGATGAAGGTCGGCTGCAATAAAGCAGTAAGTGATCGGGCCGACAAGGCGAAATTTATACGAAAAAGTTGCCCATTAAACTTCATCGGTAAAACACATAACTAGTGCTAAAATATCAGTGAGAAATGGTTATTTGCACAGACCCCCAACTGAATGTCAAAATGTGATCAACAAACCTTTGAAAACAACAAAATCCCTTTAACAATGGGAAGTTGTTGTATTCAAATGTATTCCTATTGTTAGTTCTTATGCAAAACGTAAGATCTTTTCCGCACAACAGAGCTCTTTACATATGTAAACTATAAAACTCGACACGTCGCTTGGCTGGTAAATAATACACCAAACAAATGATTGCAACATTCAAATAAAAACCGAGGCTTATTTTAAAGAAACCTACATACCTTCAGTCTGATTTTCCAAGACTGTTTAGGTGGGCTTATGAATATAAAGTAAAATTAACCCAACAATTCGATTTCCATTTTGATAGAAAGATTTTAAATATGAAAACAAAAATTCCGGCAATGGAGAGAATTCTACTGCAGTGAATTCTCTTTTCTCTCTCAACATTGAAAAAAAAAATACAAGCGAACATTTGAAATAATTTATCGGGCGATTAAAATTTTACGTGTGCCACAAAGACGCCGAAATCAAAGCTTCAAATGGAAAAGATCAAAAAAAGATATTTCATTGTATTGTCTATCATGAAAGTTCGTGTCACCCTGCATATAGAATTGTCAACGGACCAAGGAACCTGGAAGATTTAAATACCCGATAAATAGTTGAAATGGTACAGTGAAAATTCGAGAAAAATTCGTCAACAAACTTGACGATATCGAATTATTTTGCGCGAGTTACATGGATAAAACGAAGCTCTAATCAGTCGGAAATTACAAATCGGCCTTAAAGATCTAGTACCAAATGCAAAAAAAAAAAAAAATACTTAAATACACAAAGACTGCAGCGAAAAGTAGCCTCGACGGCGGTGAAAATCCTTTAAACTTAGTCCAGAGATTAAACTAATCAGATCTTACCTAGCTTGTACTCACAATCGCCCCAATCAGCCCAGCTCCAGAGCTCCGGCGTTCAATGAAAGCAAACTTTCACCGAGGTTTCTTCCAGTATAAACACCTCTTCTGCAGTGAAATGTCATTCAGGGATTCAGAGATTCGCTGTCTGCTCCAGTAACTCACTATAGTACAACCACAGAGTTTATATTCAGCTTGTTTTCACAAACAGATCAAACCCCGGTAGCATCAAAACCCGCATGCTTCACTGACCACTCATGATGTGTTTGTCTATTGTATGCGAGTACTCGACGCATCTAAGTTTTAATATCAGGATACAAATCATGAAAAAAGGATCAATGAAGCGTTAAGTCCTCCACAGCATGCGAGGCCCACAAAATTATCCGTGGACTAAAACGATGTATCCAATTAACTGCCACAAGCTGTTTTCAAACTCGAGGCGTCCACTGCGATAAGTAACTTGCCGGTGTCTTGTGAAAAATTCCGCGTAAATAGCAAGTTCATAGCATTGAATTCAAATCAGAATATATCCACAGGCTGAAAAAAATCGAAGGTTGCATCATTTAACCCTCTCTCATCAAGAAACATCTGATAATAGCTGTACACAATAATACTTCGCAGAAATCCCTCACGTCAAGCATTACTGGAAGAGCTAGCAGAATACAACACGACTTTCAATTGGCTTTTTCGATGTAGGAAGACCAACCTGATATGGCTACCATACAACACGCTTTTTTATTGGTTAGAAATCTTGTATATGATGAAAATAAGAATTATCGCCTGACCTTCCTCTCGAAGATGTAAACAGTTTACCCGTGCAAACAAAGGAAACAAATAAACTGAGTTATCTTTACGAAAGCATTTAGAAGGACCCCAACGTTTTCTTTGGGCATGATTTAAAACTTGCGGGAGTGTTTGGCAATTTCAAAGTTGAAACGCAACAACTCAGTAAATTTTACCTAAATTTGAGACAAAAATCGTTAACGTCGGGTCGAGATTTTTTCGTAAATAATTTTCTTATAAACCAGACAGCAACTGACCAGAAAAATAAAGTCTTTGAAATGATGTGCTTTATCAATCATGTGTCGTGATATCAGGAAAACGACGTGACGTCACAAGAGACCATTGAAATGTTCCATTCCACTGAAGCACGTACAAAATTATCATAACCGATAAAATCCGTTTTGATCAAAGTGAAATTTCCGCACAATGAATATATTCTAAAACGTTTTTCGCTTCGAGAACCGTCTCATTTATTTCAAATTTCGTTTCTTTTTTCTTTTTCTTGTTTAACTCATAGCTCAGTCAGCTCAGTTGGTAGAGTAGACGAAGCGAGCAATCGTGTGAAGGTCTGCGCACAGGGGACTAAGAGTATTCGATTTTTATTATCACACGAATCACGTCTCTCTTGATTTCATGACCAAACTCAAAATTTACCAACATTTACATTCAAGTTCCTTGTTTGTTTATTTTTTCGTTTGATTTTCTCTGATAAGATAACATATGGTACGTGACATTCAACAATCGTCCTAGTTTTTGTGCAAGTCTGATCGACAAAGCAATATTTTGTTTCTCAAGAATAAAAGATAATAAATTTGTAATCTAATGCAAAATTCCGCTTAACCTTGATCAAAGAGATATTTTCGTGTATGTAGTCAAGTTCAGAAACACCCTCTCCCCCTCCCCCTTATTCGCCTTTACCATCCCCCTGTTATCCAAATTAAATCCCCAGTAAATTCGCATTCACAGACCAGTCAAAGCAAACAAAAGACAGATGATGTCTTCTTTTCACCACCTCGCCAAAAACCTCTGAGGAAAGCCTTCCATATGACTGTTGTTTCAGTGCACTACATTTCAGGAGCCGCCAGATATGCAGAACATCTGTTCGTAACATTTATTCAATTTTCCTATCTTCATTATTATTAGGTTATGATAAAAGTCATGCCTAATCACTATTATCCAGTTTTTATTTTGATGGGTAAGCCTTATCATAATCTTGTAAACAAAATCGCTTTATAATTTTCCCGGCTTAGCGAGAAGCAACGTTGTTAATCAATTGTGTATCGACTTCTTCGGGCACTCAACAAACGGGGAGTCAGTTCTTCCTGAGTGATGCTGTTACCGTTGTTACGTCTAAATATCGTGCCTAATAAAACACAGCAGTCAAACGTTAGGCATCCATGCTAGCGATCAACTTCGGTCAGCAACGCGCCAATTTCTTCTCTTAAAGGTAAACATGAGGAACAACCGCTGTCCAGCAAAACAAATGAAAAGTATTTGTAACTTTGAGGGAAATCGATAAAAGGAAACAAAACCAGGAAAAAGGAAAACTTAAGACTTTCCGAACACAAAGTTCATTTAAGGGAGGCTATCCTTTTGATTTACCATTCTGTTTTGAGCTTTACCAAGGAAGTATTAAGCTACTGAAACACTGTCGGCTAACTCGACGTGAGGTGGTTTGTTACTTGAGCGAAGCAACTTGATTCTAACAGCCTCAGTGAAAGCCACCTAGCTAGTAATCGCTAGTTGTTACAACGAAAAACCATGCGATCCTCGAGAATCCCTCGACCACCCCCTTTCGCCCGTTTTGACGATAAATAATGACTGACCCCTAGCAAGAGAATATAAACAGTTTGTATTCTACGCCTTAAGCAAAGAATTCCTCAAGCTGAGGACCGTGCACACAGTTTCCACAGCGGAATTCGTATGCGATGTATATTTTCAATTCTTTCGTATTGTCGTTTCGGTCCATGACAGCCATCATTTCATTTTAGCATTATTATTGTTTAATACATTGCCTCGTGATCAAACTCTACAAAGGATTGATAACAACAGTTTGGGGAAAATCGGATTTTTTTAATCATTTTTGCTGTTTGATTCCTGATGACTATTCAATAATTCATCTTACGCTATGCAAATGATCTTCCGGAGATTCGGGATTTCTAAAAGGCGAAAAATCTCCCTTCTTGAATATTTTTATCCTTGTTCAATGCAATATCTACTCAAGACTTGCATCATGTTTTTTGACGCTGAAACGAGCTCTCTCTCTCTCTTTCTAAGAGGCTTGCGTTCTTAAAATTCAATATTCTGCGAGAAAAAATCAAAAATTGGCAAGAAATCGAAGCTAGTTACCATCTATCACATCAGACTTTCGTATTGGTGAAAGACTGGGCACCAAACATAGGGTCAGGAGTCCATGTATAACCCCATAAAATGTCCTGAGCTCGGTATATACCTTTCAATGTATTCCAATGTATTCCAATGTATTCCAATGTATTCCTACGTATTCCCATGTATTCCTACGTATTCCCATGTATTCCTACGTATTCCCATGTATTCCAATGTATTCCCATGAATTCCCATGTATTCCCGTGTATTCCCATGTATTCCCATTTATTCCTACGTATTCCTGCATATTCCCATGTATTCCAATGTATTCCCTTGTATTCCCATGTATTCCCATGTCTTCCAATGTATTCCAATGTATTCCCATGTATTCCCATCTATTCCTACGTATTGCTACGTATTCCCTTGTATTCCCATGTATTCCCATGTATTACCATGTATTACCATGTATTCCCATGTATTCCTACGTATTCCCGCATATTCCCATGTATTCCAATGCATTGCCGTGTATTCCTATGTCTTTCAATGTATTCCAGTGTATTCCCATGTATTCCCATCTATTCCTACGTATTCCTACGTATTCTACGTATTCCCATGTATTCCCATGTATTCCTACGTATTCCCATATATTCCTACGTATTCCCATGTATTGCAATGTATTCCAATGTATTCCCATGTATTCCTACGTATTCCTGCGTATTCCCATGTATTCCAATGCATTCCCACGTATTCCCGTGTCTTCCCATGTATTCCCATGTATTCCCATCTACTCCTACGTATTCCTACGTATTCCTACGTATTCCCATGTATTCCCATGTATTCCTACGTATTTCCACGTATTCCTACGTATTGCCACGTATTCCTACGTATTCCCATGTATTGCAATGTATTCCAATGTATTATCATGTATTCCTATGTATTCCCATGTACTCCTACGTATTCCCATGTATTCCAATGTATTCCCATATATTCCCATGTATTCCCATGTATTCCTATGTATTCCCATGTATTCCTACGTATTTCCATGTATTCTTAATGATTCCCATATATTCCCATGTATTCCTACGTTTCCCATGTATTCCAATGTATTCCCATGTATTCTTATGTATTCCTACGTATTCCTACGTATTCCCAGGTATTCCAATGTATACCAAAGTATTCCCATGTATTTCCACGTATTCCTACGTATGCCCATGTATCGCAATGTATTCCAATGTAATACCATGTATTCCCATGTATTCCCATGTATTCCCATGTATTCCCATGTATTCCTACGTATTCCAACGTATTCCCAGGTATTCCAATGTATTCCCATGTATTCCAATGTATTCCCATGTATTCCCATGTATTCCCAGGTATTCCCATGTATTCCTACGTATTCCCATATATTCCTACGTATTCCTGCGTATTCCCATGTATTCCCATGTATTCCTACGTATTCCTACGTATTTCCATGTATTCTCATGTTCCCATGTATTCCCATGTATTTATAATCTTCTAAAATATATAATAATAATAATAATAATAATAATAATTATAATGACCTGTTTAAACAGGATTACCAATTCATTCATCAAAACTGCTATCAATATGTATCCCGTCTCGCAACCTTTGTGCTAAGTTGATAGAGATCCTTTCCATGTGGTTATTTCAGTTTATGATCATTTGTTTGATGCAATAAACCGCCGATGACCCTCAACTTTTTTCTTCCTTAGTTTACTTTTCAATTTCTATGACATTAGCCTTTTTCATCCCATGAAAATAAATAACATCGAAGCCGCGCGTGTATTTTTTATTTTGATTGACGAAATAATGGAAATTACAAATGATTAAAAGTGCAACTACAACTTTCCATATGAACGTGTATACTTAGTACTATCTGAGGAAATTTTGACAAGTATATTCTCCAAAAGTGGTAGATTGATATTCAAAATATATCAAAATTTAACTTTTTTTTAAGCATAAACGTTGCGAGTATATAAATTATAAGCGTTCTTCACGTGACAGAAAAAAATTTCCGTTCAGGTGTAAACTCTTATCAAACTTTTCCTTCTTTTCAATTAGTGCAACGCTTAATAACGTTTAATTCATTAACAAAAGAGATTTCGTTTCTCGGCTCTTTTAACAGAGCACATTCACCTTACTTTTATTTGCCACTCTGAACACAAGTACGTTCCTTTTTGTTCCAGTTGTTGAAGTTTCCCGCCTATTTGTAGAGTAATTTTCGCTCTTAGGGGGAACTTTGATTCTTTACAGATACTGGAATTTGCTACATAATTAAATAAGCGTACAACATTATCTGCTGATGGAGATACCAAAGTCGACGTCAAAAACGATACAATAGTCATCAGAAGGCACTGCTCATAGACACTCCACAACTTTTGACTGGGTTGAACGTTAACGGATGCTAAATATTCAGCGCTGCGAACTCTCTGGTAAGGCGACCGACTCTCTCTTTTTCTTTTCCTTCCAACGGGACTCGCGACAACTTTTTTATTCTTTCCGAATCACTATTATCCAGTTTTTATTTTGATGGGTAAGCCTTATCATAATCTTGTAAACAAAATCGCATTATAATTTTCCCGGCTTAGCGAGAAGCAACGTTGTTAATCAATTGTGTATCGACTGCCTCTGGCACTCAACAATCCGAGGGGTTTAGTTCTTCCTGCGTGCTGCTGTTACCGGAGTTGCGTCGGTTACGTCTAAATATCGTGCCTAACACAGCGGTCAAACGTTGGGCATCTATGCGCTGGGGGATCAACTTTGGTCCGCCGCGCGTCAATTTCCCGCGCAAAATTTCAAAGGTAAACATGAGAAAAAAACCGCTGTCCAGCAAAACAAGCGAAAAATATTTGTAACTTTGATAGAAATCGCTAAAAGGAAACAAAACCAGGACAAAGGAAAACTCGAAACTTTCCGATCACAAAGCTCGTTCAAGGGAGGGTATCCTGTTGATTTACAATTCTTTTTTGAGCTTTACCGAAAAAGTTATAAGTTACTAAAACACCGTCGCTTACTGGCTTGCGAGTCAGTGTTTGTGACTTGATGACGATGAGGCAGTCTTGGTTCCGACAGCTTAAATGCAAGCCACGTACGTTCACTCGTGCTCAGCTGTTTGACCTCTGTATTATCGTGACTTCAGTCCGTCTATGAACTGATATTTTAAAATTCTACGCCCTATTGCATTTAGTAGTATTTTTAAATCTACATTTAAAATGGTTGACCTTTTATTGGATCAGATACATAGCTTCAAACACTACCTTCCTAGAAACGTATTTTTTTTTTATCCAAATCGCCGATCGCGCGAGTAACCGGTTCACTCCCTTTTCATTACTATGATTTTCTCTATCCACACATTATCGCTCTGCAGTTCACAAAAGTATTTCCCTTTAGAGACAGGCAACTAATTCAACGCCTAGAGAAATTTTGGTTTTGTTACGAATCACGATAATATTTACTTGATCCCCGTAGAAGGCTCTGTAATGTTCTTTAAGATCCCACCCCTTTGCCTCTTCATTGGTTGTCAATTATTTTCGATAGTCCCCACTCCATATACTCCGGTTACCGACAACTGATTTCCCTCCGTCCCGCCTGAAAGCCACGTGATGCTCCAAAATCCCTTTCCTCCTTCCCTCCCCACTCTCCTCAGAGGATAAATAATGACACACCCTAACCACAGAATTCCCGTATATTCCACTAAAGGGAGGTCCCCCTTCATGCTGTGTTTCATGTTTCCGCACAGGTTTTCAATCTGAGCGGAATTCGAGTGCGATACAAATTTTTAATATGCTTTTGTATTTTTTTATTACTCTGCCTTTTTTTGATACAGTACCTCTAATTTTACAAGGAATGGATAAGGACATTTCATGGAAATTGCTTGATGCAGGATGACTATTCTATAATCTATCTCGCGCGCTGTAAATAATTTGATATGAAAGTCGGGATTTCTATAGGGCGAAAAACCTCCCCTTTCGATTATTTTTATCCTTGTTCGACGCAATATCCAGTGAAGACTAGCATCATTTTTTTTTACGCTGAACCGAACTATCCCTCTCTCCCTCTCTTCGAGCTTTGCGTTCTTGAAATTTCAAGATTCTACGAGAAAAAAAGGCAGAATTTGATAGCAATCAGAGTTTTCCCTATCAATGATATTAGAACATAGCTAGCAGAGTCGCGCAATCAAATTTATTATACGTAAGCGTGCTCAAAATCCCGATAGAGCACGCTGATAGCGTCAGCAAATCCGACTTCACCAGAAAAATTTTTATTCAAGAGTTTTCCGGCTTTCCGTGCTACCTAAGTGTAAGGAAAGACTGCAGA